TCAAATAAAAACATGCACCTGAATGTTCCTAACAGCACTGCTCACAAAAGCCAAAAGCTGACAGCCACTCTGCTGCCCATCAATGAATAAACACATACACAGAACAAGGTATAGCCACATGGTGGAATGTTATGCCGCCGTAAAAAGGAAGGCAATACTGATACATTTTAAAAAATAGTGATATTCTTAAAAACATACACTGAGTCTGAGTTCAATTCCATATATATATATATACTGAGTGAAAGAAGTCAGATTTTAAAAAACACACAACTTTCATGGTTCACTTTATGACATATTCAGAACAGGTAAATCCACAAAGAAAGAAAGCAGACTGGTGGATTGGTGTGATCAGGGGCTGAGAGTTGGGGTGACAGTGACTGCTTGGGGGTACCAGGCTGTATTTGGGAGTGAATGTCCAGAACTAGATAGTAGCATTGTAAATATACTAAACACTGCTGAATTCTGTATTTTAAAATGGTGAATTTTATGTCACAGGAATTTTGTCACTTAAAGGGGAGAGTAGGCTGGCTTTGTCTTTTTTGTTCATTTCCACCACCACTCTTCCCCTACCCCAGGTAAGAAAGAAGGCAAGGGCCCAGCTCCCCAGATTTGCCAGGTCTGAGGCTCAGCTTCTTTCCACCACCCTAGGCCAATGGTTCACAGACTACAGAGGTTCTGTACTCCAGGGAGGGCTTGTTATGTCCCAGAGCTGGAGTGCCTGATGCAGATGTGGGGCCTGGGATGTGCAGGACTTGTACCGCCCGAGACCCTGGGGCTACCTGAGGCTGCAGCCATCTGCTGGCCACCAAGCCACTCAGACAAGAAAAGATGGAGGGAAGGCAGGGACTGAACCAGAGAAAAGGGAACCACGAAGGAAACTAGTGGCCAGTCTAATGGATTGAGAAACATGAAGCAAGGCCTGGTGTTCTGCCAGGTGAGTGTACAGGTTTAAGGGAGATCTCTGTGGGGTGTCCTGGCTCCCCTACGGGGCTAAAGTCACATTCTGACTTGGAGTGAAGGCTCCTAACTTCACACTCATCTGTTCCCCAGTATCCTCAGGATAATATCCAGATTCCTGACCCAGCCCCACCTAGAGCTGGCTCCTGCCTGTCTCCCAGCCCTGTCTGGCCACACTGGCCATGGTGAGGCCACCTGGGCCCTCAGAAGCTCCTGGAACAGACCAACTCCCTCCACACCTCCAGACCCTTGCATTCACAGCTGTCTCTACCTGCAACAGCTCAGGCTCCCCCAACCCTGCACCCCCAGCCCATCTCCTCTTTTCCCTTCCTTCACTCCCACCTTTCCCTCCTGGCTCAAGCTAACGCCTCCCTCTAAGAAGCTGACTGACAAGCACACAAATTGGGGTGTGTTCCAGGACCCTTCCTAACATCCATCACACAGAGCCCCAGACCCAGTGGAATCCCACCAGGTCAGGCCTGGTCTGTCATGTACACACTGAGGCTTCCTGGCCTCATCCTGCTGGCAAAGACTTTCTGGCTTCCACTGCTGACCTGGTAATTGTCCTGATGCTTGAGCTCAAGGAATAAGAGGGAAAAGAACAAGTGAATCAGATCTGAAAGCCATAGGGCAAGGGTGAGCAGGGGCTTTAGAGTGAAGCCCCGAGAGGTTACAAAAAGCACTTCACACAGAGTTGGTCCTGGGCCAGAAAGGCCTTTCCTCTTCCTTCTCACCTGGCCCACTGTGCCTACCTTTCCTGCCCCAGCTTCAAGTGGTACCTCTGCTCCAAGCGTCAGGTACTTCCTCTGTGTGATCAGGGTTACATGTCTACAGTGCAGGATGGGCTGGGCTGGGCTGGGGCGAGTCTGGGACACACCAGTCTCAGAGAGGAGTGTTGTCTGAGGGCTCTAGGGAAGAAACACTGTACAGAAGTATTGCATGTGTGCTCCGCCATAAGTCACTTCCTAACTTGGTGATTTTATGACTCTGGATACCATTAAACCCCCAAGAGTCACATCTGTAAATTGAGACTCATAATTATAAGTGCCTTACATTGTGACGGTGAAGATGAAATGAATTAATACAGTGAAGGCGTTCAACAAGGTGCCTGGTACATTTAAAACGCTCAGTGAAATGTTAAGAGTTATCTCGCGTGACAGTCTCAGCGATCTAGGGGCCAAGGGCAGCACCCTAATGAAGATGGGGAGGGCAGCAGATGATGGAGAGATTCCGTGACTCACCCACATACACAGAATGAGGCTGAACTGCCATCAAATCTATCTCCGGAACTGCAGGGGAGTGTCGCCCTCGGTCCCTGACACCCCTTCTGTCCCAGGGAAAACATCTGTCCCAGCTTGAGCAGGCATGTGATTTCTCTCACGATTGTTCCATAGTCGTAAGTCCATTCAGCCAGATTCCACAGAGCCGGTCCCCACTGCGGCCGGCTAGCCTCTGTTCTCTCATCAGCTGCCCTTTATGTTGCCCACAGAAACACTGGCTAATTTATTAACCTGGGCTTTTCAGTAAGGTTGAGATTTAAATTACGCCTGGCATCCCATGCAAAATTGCTGTACAGGCCTCTTTGACCACTTCAGGTTGACTGCAAACAATATATTGACTTGTAAATATCTTCAGAAAAGAGTTCATTTTTCTCTCTTTCTTTACAGCCCACAGCAACAAATTTCACACACCTTATCAAAGGGGACAGTGGCTGTAATACTTGATTGGTTAATTGTCAGAAAAAATATTTTAGACATCAGCTTCATTCTGTCTTGCTCCAAAACTAGGGTGTCTTTCTGTGACACCCCATTGTCCCAGGGCCAAATCCAGCCACAGCCATTTGTTTTCTTAGCATGCAGGGCTGCTTTACAGATACAGCTGTGCAAGGCCCTTGAGACAAAAAGTCCTTACCATCTGGACCTTTACAGATGTTTGCCAATGCCTGACCCAAAGTGCAGCGACCAGCTGAGTACCTGTCTCCCCCACTGCATGGCCAATTTATTTAAACTGGGTCTTATTCATCTTCGAATCTTTAGAAAGATCAGCCAGGTGTGGTGGCTGCACACCCGTAATCCCAGCACTCGGGGGGGGGGGGGGCTGAGGCAGGAGCATCGTTTTAAGTTTGAGACCAGGCTGGGCTACAAAGTGAGCTCAGGGCCAGCCTCAACTATATAATGAGACCCTGTCTCAAAAAGATAAAAAAAAAACAAAACAAACTTTCCTTAGAAAGGGCTCAGTGCTGATTAAATAAAATATGAAATGAAATCCTACCCACCCCAGCCCCCCTGAAATCCTTGTGCCCATTCATTCTGACCCCAAACCCAGGTCATTAGAATCCATACCCTCTGCCTGCTTCAGAAAGTGTGTGGTGTATGAGCCAGTGAGCTGCTGTTCCAAAGGCCTAATTCCTCTCTCTTTTGTTTTTGGTACCAAGAATTGAACTCATGACCTTGTGCTTGCCAGGCAGGGGCTGTGCCACTGAGCTATATCTCCAGCCCTGAATTTTTCTCCTACAACTAGTTCAAAGGCCTTGAACCGCCTCCCATTGGAGATGCCCTCAGTGTAGCCGTTCTTGTTCTGCCCTTTAACCTTCTCGAGGTGAAGGCCTCTGAGTATAATCAATATTGTTAGAAAAAAAACCTTTTTCTTATGTCAAGATAACCAAATAGAAAATACGATTTTAAGACAATTCCAGCTATAATTTTTTGGTTTTTATTTTTATTTTTTTTGAGACAAGCTCTCACTATGTAGTGCAGATTGGCCTCAAACTCATCATAATTCTACTGCCTCAGCTTCCCAAGTATTGGGAATAAAGGTATGCACCACCACCCCTGGCAATTCTGGTTATAATTTTAAAACTACTATAACGTATGCAGGATTAGTGTTAATGAAGATATGCATCATCTTTACAAAGAAAACTATAAGATTTTTGCAAATGGCCTTAATATGTACAGAAATAGAACACGTTCATAGTTATAGAAATTCAAAAAGATGGCAACTCTCAAGGAAGGAGGCAGTCCTACTCTACTCAGTTCCTTAAGTACTCTCTTCTTCTTCCCTAAATACAAAGACTTTTTTAATGGAAGAATTTTTATCTTGATTAATAAAATAATGTCCAACCAGACTGGTGGCACATACCTATAATCCCAGTACTCAGGAGGCTGAGGCAGGAGGATTGCTATTAGTTTGAGGCCAGCCTAGACTACAAAGCAAATGCAAGGCCAACCTGAGTGGCAGAGTGAAACTCTGACACTGGGCCCTGCTGCCCATAAGCCTGTGGTATTTTTTCCTCTCCTTGTTTCCATTTGGGACCTGTTACTCCCATGCCCTTTTATTTGGTCCCCCCTGCTCTTCGCCAGCCCCTACTTCCTGTAGAAAACCCTGAGTGGCAGGTAACTGGAGTCCTGAGCAGGAGCCTTCTGCCTGCCTCTGCCTCACGTAACCTGAACAAATCCCTGTGTTAGGCATCAGTGTCCATGAGACATGCTGGCACTCATATGCTGCCTCACTAACTGAGGGGTGCAGTTGTACCCCAATGAAGACACATGTGCAGACCTTAAGGAGCTCAACTTAGAAAACTACTTATTCAAGGCAGAAGGCTATCATGTTTAGGGCAAAAGTATGTTGTTTGGAGGACTTAGTGGGTGAGGGGCTTCCTAAACTCAAATGCCAGCTCTTACATCCAGCAGCTGTGCAGACTAACTAACATAGGCAGAATCAAGGCCTCCTAACCTGGAACTTGTGTGTTCTAACCTGGAACCTGTACATAACGGCATACACAGCAATGGGAAATTAAAGTTGTGGGTGGGGTTACGGTTGCCAGTCAACTGACCTTAAGATAGGAGATCATCCTGGGTTGCCTGAGTGGCCCCAAGATGACCCAAACAGCTCTTAAAAGTGGAAGAGGGAAGCAGAAGAGAAAATCAGAGTGATGGGACATAAAGATTCAACTCATCACTGATGGCCTTGAAGATGGAAGAAGGGGCATCAAGCTAAGAAAGGCAGGCATCTTCTCCAAGCAAGGAAGGCAAGGAAACACTCACCTCCAGAGCATGCAGAGAGAAACACAGCCTTCTGATGCCGCCCCGAGGACTTCTACGTTGGGCCGCTGACATACAGCATGGAAGATCGTTAATTGTGTCGAGTACTTTGGTAGAACTGAGATGGAAAAGCTCATTTGCCTCGCCTATAAATTGAAGAGGATATTTATAGATTACCCATAGAATAGGTACAATGATTAAATAGGGTGCTGTATGGAAAAAAAACAGAACAGGGTTTGCTTTCATATCCTCCCGGCTTTATTCACTTCTTTTGATAGGGCTGATGCAAGCAACTCCATTTTTATTCTGACAACATTTACATTTCCTTTGTCTTCCTGGTGAGAGTTTCAGTAACTTCTCCCTAGATAAACCTCCCCAACCTCCCTTGGCTGGGCCTTCCTCTTGGGGTGAGCACACTTGCTTACTTTGGGGGAAGAGGCAAGGTCTCGCCTTTCCTGGAACCTTTCAACCTACCCTTCTTGGCCTTCCCACTGTCTGCTGTTATGGTTTCCAGGCAGAAGGTTCCCTCCACCCAAAGCCTCCTGCACTTACAAGCAGGGCTTTCAGAACATGACTGGATCACCGGGGTGATGCAGCTGACTTCCGGTTAGAAGGTGTGGCTTGGTTAGAGGAGGCGGGTCACTGGGGCGTAACCCGGAAGTGTATATCCCCATCCCCAGCTCCACCCCTCCTTCTCTGCTTCCTGACTGCCCAGATACGAGCAGCTTTCCTCAACCTAGGCTTTTTTACCATATTGTCTCCATCTTGGAGCCGGCCAGCTGAGCGCAAACTGTATAGTATAAATTACTGGACATTATGGCGCTGTCTAACATGGCAGAAGGCCAAAGCAAAAACAGTACTTACCCTGATGACCAGTTTCTCCTCCTTCCTCTTCAGCTGTGATTACAACTTCCTCTTTCCTTTCCCATGAGCTCAAAGAAAATTCCAATCAGTTCCTCATGCATCATCAGTGCCTGACCCAAACTCCACCTCTGGCTAGAGGTCATCAAACCTCCCACCACAATTGTTTCTGATCAGAGGAGAAAGCCCAGCACCACAAGTGGTCCACTCCTCTCCACATCCTCAATAAAGGCCACTTTTTCTTTCCTTTTTCTTGTCTTTTATACCAGCAAACCCTAACAGTCTCCTTTGCCCGAAGACTAGGATGTGTGCCTGGTATAGAGTTAGGGTCCTTTTTGAGAGCTAGGTTTAGGCAAATCTTCTCTTTACACAGAAAATATAGCCCTTGTGCCCAGGTGTTAGATTCCACCCATGTATGTGGTGAATAGTCTGTTTTCTGATATTGGAATCACAAGGACAAAAAAGAGAGAGAAATCTCCACTCCACTTCCCAAAGAAAAGGAAAGAGACATCACGAAAAGCAAACTTAACACCAACATTTATTAATGCCAAAAGAGAAGAAAGTATAGACAACCAAATCCCAGCAGCCCCAAGTAGCACACCTCACTTGTCTGAGCCAGACTTCCTCAAGATCCTCAGAGCTCTCCCAGTTCCACCCACTCCAAGACTCAGACTGTGCCCACACTTATAAACCAGTAGGAAAACCTTTGGGGTTATTCGTGGAAGCTATTAGTTTCAATGATTTATGCAGATTAGTAAAATGAAGCAGAATATATATTTGCCACCCATCCTGGAGGCAACTTTCGGCACGTCCACGAAGTCCACATCTTCCTGCAGACATCCGGCCTCCACAGCTTAAATTCGAATGGAAGAAAGAGCTTTGTCCTGTTTTAGCATCATTCAGGTCATTGCCTATCAAAAGTGACTGGAAAAAAATCAAAAAAATACTGTTAGGATAGTGATGGTGGTGAAAGAGGAGGAGAAGGAAGAGATTGTCATCTTACAGTTGGGGAAAAGGAGGCATTTTCCCCCCATTCAGCTAAGGACTGAGGGACCTGGAGGCCATTTGACAACAAATTTCATGCTGCCACATCCTTCTCGCTGCTGTGTCCTTTTTGCACAGGGGGAAGCCTTACGGTGTGAGGCCTCTGAGGAGCCCTGTGGAAGGATCACACCACCCAGAAAACTCCTCTCGCACAACCATTACAAGTGCTTCCATTCAAGAAGTCTTTTATAAATCCTGTCTCCAAGACAGCCTCACCCCATTTTATAGATGCAGAAGTAGAGACTGAGAGAGGTGAGGCAACTTCCCCAGGGTCACAGTGGGGAGACAGAAAAAGTGGAGCACAGCTCTGGCCAATCCCAAAGTCTGAGCACCTCACTGCTCCATTGTCCTGCTTTCTGGAAGAAACCAAGCAAGAGCTTCCGGTGATGGGAGATGACAAATGTCCTCAGCACAGGAGGACAAAGCAACCTGTGGGTCAGAAGCTGGTCCCAGATGCACAAAAACACTGAGTAGATCAGGGCCTCAGGCTGGAAAGACCCAAAGAGTGAGGTCATCCCATCCCTGAGCCTCGAATGTAGGAACTTCCAGTCCACTGTCAGCAGGGTGGCCTCTAACTTTCTGAGAATGCCCCTCACAGGAGCTCCATACACATGGAGGACCAAGCAGAGATACCACAGAAAGCTCACAGGACTTGGAGTTGTCGAGTGCCCCTACATACCGACCTCTGCCTCCCGTGAGTTAGGAGCTTCATCATGCCCAGTTAGTTCCTCCAGAAAATGGGGTTCAAATGCACCCCATTTGAACAATGTAACAATGTAGAGTGCTATGAGGGTCAAGGGAGGCCATAGCATCCTGGAAATCACAGCATGCTTGCTGCTCCAAGGAAGTGTTCCTGCACCAATTCACAGGAGCACAAAACAAAAGCCAACAGAAATATAAGATTGCTCTTCAGCCCAGAGGATAAAACACCAATTATGTCCTGTCCTGCTTGGTCCACAAAAACGAGGAATGAAATTCACTGGGCTTCAGCTCTCACGAGATTTTGCTACCTTGCATAATAGGATTTGAAAGGGGGAATAAGGTGGCGACAGTGAGGGAGAAGCTATCTGCCTCATCTAGGGACAGGGGAGCCGAGGCAGGGTGTGCAGTGTATATGGGAATGCTGGACAGAAGCAGGGAACAGGAAGAGCCCACCAGGGAAGACGGAAGGCAGGTGAGCTGTGAAGTCGTTGCAGGAAGGCTGTAGGGAACAGGAAGAGACCCAGGAGGAAAGGTCCTGACCCGGTGACAATGGTGATGACCAGTGAATGCCACAGGTCACAGGTGACTCCTGACCACAGCTGGAGAGACCAAAGTGCCAACAATCCAGATTCAGATTTTATAGTCATCTTTTCTGGATAGCAAATGCAGTCCCATCCCTCTCCTTTTGGGACCTCTTGGTGACCCAGCAGGCTCCCCTATGCTCCCCGCGCTCCTCTCACTGGCTCCCTCCTACCTTGTTCTTACCATTCCACAACTTATAGACAGCCACCTGCTGGCTCCCCCAGCACCACGTTCCCCCAGGTCTCCCAGCCCAACTCTGTCCTGCACAGCCCCGCCTAACCCCTACCCCAAGGGAGGGCCTGACACATACCTAGAGGCCGAGAGCCCTACACCGGATACACCTTGTTCCTGTCACAGTGGGGCTTGCAGTGAGGGTTCAGCCAGTGCTCCAAGAACTGCTCCTCTGCGCGATGCTCCAGGACCAGGAGGTGGTACATGTACTCCTGTGGGGACAGACCCGAGGCCCTGAGGGAGGCTGCTCTCCTGCAGGGCTGGCAGGATGGCTCTGCTTCCTGATGCAAGGCTCAGTCTGGCCCAGAGAGGGGAGGAGGGCTCACCTAAGTTACCCAGTGGGAATAACCAGTCAGGCCCACCCACCAGCAGGGGAATGAAGTTCTGTGATAGACTGGCAGTGCTGGAGGGCCCCCAATCAGAAAGCACGCACACCCCACTGGGAGGCGTAGGGAACAAGCACTCTGGAGGGTGTTGCATTGCCTGATATCTAGAAATGCAGGCACCACTAGTTTATACCCTAGAACAGTGGATCTCCCACTGTACCAGGCATCAGAGTCACCTGGGGCCTTAGGAAACACAAATAAAACACCAATGTTAAGTTCTATCCAAAAATCTGGAGCAGGGCTGGAAAATTTGTATTTCTTTTTTTTTTTTAATTTTAAAGGGGGTAAAAATTAAACACAACAGAACAAAATAGGACATAAGAAAGCAATGTAAGAGATATAAATTTCAAAGCTAGATGACCTGAGATCTTCACTGTCTATCATATTGTCTCGTTTTCTTCCAAATAGTTGTCCATGTCAGAGATTTCATAATAAATAATATAGTATAAAACTGATCCAAACAGAATGAGGAAGGTGATTTAGGTCTTCAAAACCAGACAATAGGGAAGTCACTAATGGCTGTCATAGAGTCTCTCACTCTCTTTAAAATAGCTGTCCATATTTTCATGTATATTGAAGTGCAACAAAACAAAACAGGCAGTGGGGAGGGGTTGCTTGGTTTCTCAGTGCTCCAGGTCCCAGCATGGCTCGGGTCCCAGTAATTGCCGGTGGCTCCTGTCCTGGGCCGCTGCAGAAAATTTGTATTTCTAACAAGTTACTACCCTACCTAACTCCACCTTCTCTGTGAGGACAAGAGAAACTTACACCAGGAGAGGTGCGTAACATTGTTTGCAGCATGCCAGGTGTGGTATGTGTGCCTGTAATCCCAGCACTCTGAGGAAGGAGGGTTGCTGAGAGTTTGAGGCCACCCCCGGCTACATAGCGAATTCAGGACCAGCCTGAACCACACAGAGACCCTGTCTCAAAAAACATATAGATAGCAGCAATGAGTTTGAAAGGGCGAAGTGCTGGGAACATGCCACATGTCCAGTGATGGGAGAACAGGCCAAGCAGTGATAAGACACACCATGGGCTATCATAGAGTGGTGAAAATAAGCCGATTATAATACAGTGACAAAGGTGGTTCTTAGAAATAGCACACTGAACAGAAAGAGACTATATGTGTAGTGTGGTGATATTTTTATCAAAACATGCACAGCTAAATCATGTAGTACTTATGGCTACATGCATTGGCCATCAAATCATCAGTCTTAAAAGGCAAGAGATAACCAGAAGAAAATAAAGTTGCTATGCTAATATCAAACAAAAGGATTTTAGAACAAAACATGTTGGTAGAGGGACATTTTGTATAAAACAATATGGCATTTCCTTAAAATATTAAACATAGTCGTCATTTGTGCTCCTAGCAATTGTGCTCCTGGATGTGTACCCAAGAGAAATGAAAAATTGGAGGTACAGCTATGTTCATCCCAGCCAAACAGTAGGAACAACTCAAGTGTCCATCAGGAGTGAGAGGCCAGAGTATTTAGTTCCTGGCTCCTCGAAAGGCCACAGCAGGCTGGCTCATGCCTCTCCTGAAGTCACAGCTCCTGGAGGGGCTGTCCCCGCCTAGAGCCTGGAACCATCTGTTCCCTTTACTGTTCCTTACAGAGGGTCTCTTGGCTCAGATCTTTTATCATTTTCTTATTGGTTTGTCTGAATTCTGCCCAAATTTTTGTAAAAAGTCTCTATTAAGCCAGGTGTAGTGGTGCATACCTGTGATCCAAACAGTCAGGAGGCTGAGGAAGGAGGATCATTTCAAGTTCAAGGCCAGCTTGGGCTACAAAGTGAGCTCAAGGCTGCCTAAATTACATAGTGAAACCTTGTCTCAAAAAGACAATAAACAAAAAGTTTCTATTAAATCTTCGAAAGTTACCCAGTTTCCAAAGTGGGGACCTAATGGTACAGGGTCTTGGCATACCATTCCTGGTGCATGGTAAGATTCTAATATATTAGCTGCTCCTTTTAGTTACTATTAGAGAAGCAAAATCTGAATCTACTTGGAGGCTGTGGGGTTGAGCACTTTTCCCAGGAACCGGTCCACAAACAACTTGATGAATGTTGAATGAAAGACCACAGCAACCTCCCTCAAAATGTGGTCTGTGCTCCCTTGGGGGTCCATGAGGTCAACACTGTTTTCAGAAAATCCTCAGACATTCTGTGCCTCCTTGCTGTAATGGCATTTGCACTGATATACCAGAGAAATCGTGGGTAAATGCCAGGTGCCTTCCCAGGAATCCAGACCGTGATATCCACTCTGCTAGTGGCACTGAGTCCTTCACCACCACATACAGTTAACAAAAATAAAAATGAAATACTCTAGAAGTGCCAGCTTCCCCCAAAAAACGTGCTGTAAAGCATAGAGAGGGGTCCACTGGGCCCACCCAGGCAGCTGCATGACTAAGCACAGTGGTTTGCACAAGCAAACTCACTTGTGTAACTGCTGGTGGCCAGGATAGATATAGCCACATTTTATGCACGTGTTTGACAGATATCTTGAAAATGATCCAACCACACTGTCACTCAAGGAAAACAATGGACAGGATTTGTTGCTAATGAATGTAATCTGAGCTTTCAGGAGGAAATCACGATTTTGGAAAACCAGCATCTGCTCCCAAGAGGTTGAGGCTTAAGTACTGTGGCACATCCCTATGATTTCAGCTCCTCAGGAGGTTGAAGCAGGAGGACCATAAGTTCAAGACCAATCTGGGAAACTCAATGGAAACATCTCTCAAAATAAAATTAAAAACGGTGAAAAGAGTCCCTAAGTGATAGAGCGAGCACTGTAGGTTTGACCCCTTGTACTGCAAAAAAATAAAATAAAATAAAAAGACTAGGAGTATGGTTCAGTGATAGAACACTGGCAAGACCCTGGGTTCAATCCCTAGCATAAGAAAGAAAGATTCATTGATGAGATCACCTGTGATGGTAACAAATCTGACCAATGATATATAGCACTTTTTGTGACAAGATACTCATTTGTATATTTACTCATTTAATCCCTATCACTCTCACTCAAATATCCAGCCAGGGTTTTATTCTGTTCTGTTTTGTTTTGTTTTAAGAGACAAGCTCTCTTTATGTTGCCCAGGATGATATCAAATTCCTGAGCGCAAGCAATCCTCCTGTTTCAGCCTTCTGAATAGCTGGGAACAGATACATGCCAACATGCCCAGCCCAGCTGAATTGTTTTTTTGTAGCAGTGACCAATGTATACTTGGTGTATGGCTTAGTGCCTAGCACAGAGTAGGACCTTGTTACCACTCACTGGAGAAATAAATTAATGAAATACCTATTGTTTCCTTTTAATCTTACAAAATCCTCCTCAGAACATTTCTGGTCATTTGTGTCAATCTGCTCATTATAACAGCTGAAGCCAAAAGCACATAAAAAACATCAAAAGCAATATTTATTTCACACTCCTAAACAGCAGCTGAAATCATCGTGGAAGAAAAACAACCAAATAGACACACACGGAGAACAAGAGAGAAACCAGGGCTAGTTTCCATGACATTTCACTATTTATTTAAAATGTTAGGAAAATGAATGTGCCACGAAGGCCTAAAAGCGATCATTAGTCAAAGATGAAAAGCCAAACTGCAAATCTGCTAAAAACCACAAGTTCAACAATTGCCTTGGCAGAGTTAGAAACAACCCAGCATTAATGATAATCTCAAATGTTCCTGGACTGAGAAAGGAAGGTTAGATGAAAAATAGGTTCTCATTTCTTTAGATTCCTTTTGACAAGGGGGGAAAAACAACAACACAAAACCCAGTATTTATGTTCCATGTCAGATGCCAATTGCAATGGCTCTAAGTAAATAATTTCCCCATAACTAGAATGGAAAATAATACCCCAGTAATTAGAATGGAAATGGTAAGTAGGCCCTTACACCAGAGAGGTGCGATACTGAAATTTAGCACCCACCGGAATCTGATTTGAGAATCACGACATGGGCGATGAGTGTATCTACCTCCCCATCGCCTAGGTAGGAACTGTTTCCCAAGAAAACAAAAACCCTTCCTGTAAATGTTTGGGCAGAAGGGGAGGCCCAGTGACATTTTGGAAGAATTCTTTCGCTCCTTAGTAAAAGCTAGGTAATCCCATAGGCAGGAGGGTGGCTCAGAACTTAACTGGGTCGGGTCTCTCCCTATAGGAAGCTAATCAGCACTGCGTATGACCAGCATCTTAGCTACGCTGAACAAATTTTGAGATTGTGGGGAGTAGGAGGGTAATGAAGCTACTAGGTACATTCTTCTAGAGGCTAACCACGAAGGCATATTTTACAAACACTACTTTCAATAAAGCTAATATGATTTATACTTGCACAACAAGAACATTCCAGAAAGGACCATGGGCCAAAATGGCAGGCTTCCTAGAAAGGCAAATTCCCAGGCACATGGGGCCTTATGAACAAGATGGCAAGAGACATCATTTGAGCCTCAATGTTGTCTTTTTTAAAGAATTTCCATGGTTCGCCCTAGCATTTGGCAAATGATGTCGCCCCTAACACTGGGGGAGATGAGAAGAAGTTTAGTGAGCTCAATAAAGATTTCTATGAAATAACCTGGAGAGATGCAGAGAAAGGAAGAGATACGTATAATGAGTATTTTGTAGATATCAATAGTGTGTTGGTGTTTGGGACCCAGAAGTGACACACACTGCCCATGTCCTTGCAAGAACAATCTAGCAAGTGAGACATACGGATGTCAAAAATAGTAACACAGTGCTGCAAATGCCATTGATTCATTCATTCAGGAAGAGGCGGCAGCAGGGCCAGTTAAAGCGAGTCTCCCTTGGTGAGTAAGAATTAGCCAGGTAGCTA